GTCATTACAAAACTATCAAATGAGGGCTTGCATCATTCGTACACTGGGTGTTATATGAATTGAATTCTTATAAATCATAAAATTAGTCCTGCGTTTTATTTTCAATAATGTTTCATATCCGGATACATTGCTCATAATGCTTTCTGACTTTTCAAACCTCATATAGTCACATCATCCTTTTTCATTATTCTCTCAATAAAATAATATAACAATATGTTGCATTTTGTAACATTGTTAAGCGTTCAATTCACGTGGTCACTTTGTATCATTCAGTGATCAGGTGAAAAATCAATTAGACAAATATAATTTACATGCTACATGCTAATTTTCATGCTACTCAATTGAAAAATAGGATGAAATTAGTATTTTCAGTTTTGTAGTTAAATGGCATTACTAATGTTAGTCTTTTATACAGACTGATCACATGATACCAATTTTTCCTTTCTTTTCTTGTTTCAACACAACCTATTTTTGAGCATCATTAATGAACAGCGTAACAATTGATTCAAGCATAATGGAGTCGACGAAAATGGAAATATCAGCTGTTCACTATGCGCTGGTGCTTCCGGCGGCTGAGTAAAGTTTAATTTTCTATAGTTTAGACTTCAGTCAAGTAAAAAAGCAATATCGGACAACTTATTCAGAATGATTTTGTGGTAAGATGGAACCTGTAACGATGTATTTTCGTCAGCATGAAATTAAGAAAATGGAAATCCTTTTTTTTCGATCTGATGACCAATACATTTTACTTAGTTGTATGAAAAGCACATAGTAGTTTCAACAGGATTTCAAGCGTTTAATCTAACATAAATTTACATATTCTGAAGTTTTCAGATGTACACTTTCATAAACTGTAAATATCTACATCCAGATGAGAATTGTAGGTGGAAAATTTTCTGCAATTTAATCATAAAGTAGTTTAGTTGTGTACGTTATTTCCTTTTAACAATTAAAAACAACTGACTGCCAGGTAATTTTAACATGGTACTTAATAAATAACTAGTAGTAGTTTTAAAACATGATCAATTTGTTTGTGACCAGTACATAGAAGAACATCTCCTAGTCTAGACAAATGTTGTATAGTTGAAACAATCATTCAACATGTGGACGTTGTATTATATAAACATTGCAAAAAACAAACGTCACATCTTTTCAATTTCCAATAAACTAGGAATGCACAAAGTTATTTTCCAGCAATTATCCAACCAAAAACTGATACAAATCAATTTCCATTAAACTGGTCTGAAAACTTTAGAAAAACAAAATCTCTCTAGTTCTGGATTTTATTGACGTCATACATGGTACGTAATTCTTTGTGTGTGTATTTGTCCTGAAATAGCAAATTGTTGATCAAATGATGCAGGATCGAGAACGAAATCTAAAATCTGGCAAAAACAATATGGTGAGTTGTGTAATCATCCTATATGATAATATATACTACTTTGTTGGGGATGTTAGATCCCTAGAACTCGCTTGATAAATGCCTTATTTTGTATTTCACGTTCGCGAGCATGGGCTGATCAGTTGACCTTGAGATTTCATTTCCCACTAGGAAAATCAATGGCTGTGATTGGCTGCTGTGTATTTTAGTGTGTTATTTTTGTGACTGTCCCAAGGACGTTTCTATGATGTATAAATAAACGAGAGTTGTGTGCTTGATTGTATTGTGCTGGCTGGGTGTTGTAGAATATACTTTCTACGCTTATCAAGACATCCGTTTTGCCGTTTGAGATTCAAGGTAGCCTACCTGGACGGTGGTAATTGTCTCGTTCGCGTTTATCGACTAAGGTGAACTCGTAATAGCTTCAAGTGTACCTAGTGGCGTACGTAACAACTTACTGTTCAGTTTGACGTTTATTAATTCCTCACAAGATTTCCTTGTGTTATTTTCTACCAACCACATAGTTCAAGGATAAAAAAACAAGTTATTCACATAGGTAATCAATCTCTTCAAAGTTTACATCATCAGTGAATTTAACCCCCTCGACTACTAATAGTAAAACGAAAAGTAAATTAAGTGGAAAAAACTTTTTTCTGGACCATAATGAAGTAAAATATAAGTAGTTTAAATAATTTTTTTTCAAGCCCTAAATCAAGTATTTGTTTCTAAAATCCTTTATTTATTTGAAGCATGATTTCTCTCAAACGACAAGATTCAAGCTTACATAATTCAATCGATCAAACCTCATTCTTGTTACACAAGCCAGCAGTTATCTAGACTTAGTAAGTCATTACATAAAGCATTATGCATTTTAAGCAAAAATGATTGGATTCACTTTTCTGCATGAACCGTAACATGTGGACACGGGAAAGATGAGCCAGCAAATTCTAAATTTGTCGTACTGTCTCACGAACACAAAGGCATGAAAATTAGGAAGTTTTACCCCTATATTCATGAATTAATCATTGTCAGACCACTGTTAGAAACGTCAAAGCACTAGACTGCCATTTCGTCCTGGCATGGGACTCATAATCAGTGGGCATTAACGACTCCTGCTACTCACAGGATTCGGAACCAGTACCTCTGGTCTTGCACGCGAAAGCCTAACCTCAGTAATAAACAGACATCTGCATAACACTTTATTGAAAATGATACTCTATCCAAAGAACAAATTTCTAAGAATATTCTTCAAACATTCGTCTAATCTTATTTAAATATTGATTTTATACGTATGTGAAATATAACTAAAATGTGAGATATGTGGATACTGATGCCGATAATTATTTTTTAGACTTGAGTGATATACCAATTTTCAACTAAGCAACACCAGCGACATCTAGCAAACAGGAGTTTTTTAAATGTTTTATCAAAGATTTGTAGCATCTCACCGTTCACTCATTGTACTTCAATGATTTGTCGTTTAAATTATTCGATAAAATGTATCGACCATTTTTTATATTTGTACTAATTCGAATAAAGTATTGATTGTTGGATTTTTGAGTGTGTGTGGATGCTTCCTTGCTTAGTACATGTCTAGTTTATTATTACCTGACTATAGGTACTTATTCATTGCTTAAACGCTGAAGAGTTGGCTCACTCGCCTTCTGCAGTTCGCTTCGTTTTGCTTATCCGCTTTCCATTCTCATGTCTGTCTGCATTGATGAATGCATAAAATAAATTAATCTGTAATACCACTGTCGCACGAACGGGGTTTGCCTAAGCATGATACACGGAAATGGACAGGAAGATTTATTTCATGGCATACTCAACCATTCGTACACACTGGAGTCCAGTCGTGAGCCGCTAAACATTATCTTCAAAAATTGGTGATATGCTCATGACTTCAACTTCCCTGTCAATTAATTAGAATGACAAGTTCTATTTGTACAAGAATTGATATTTCAAGGCTTAGTTACGGTTAGGGTTATCGAATTGTACGTTTTCTCTTGGTGACCTCGTTTTCACAAACAATCCTGATGTTTGATCGCAAAGCAAGTAGTCTTTAACTAGATCCCAGTTCTTGTAGGTCTGTATTCTGTCTGTTCAAGTAATACAGTACCAACTTTGCAAGAACAGTTAACACCAGTTTTCCCCATTTTCTCTGTTCTAACTAGGTTGAGAAGTCCTATTTGTATAAGAATTGATATTTCAATGCATGATTAAACATTGATTGTTAGTCCGACTCCGTATCAGTCGTCCACATTTATTAAATGACTATCAATCAGTTGACAGTCACAAACAGACAAAGTGATTTGGATCAATTGATAAGCATTTTAGATTAAGAAAAAGTACGTTTAATAATTCTAATCATTGGTGCATTTTGTAAATTCTTCACGTCAATACATAACCACGCACAAACATACATACATTCATACAAATTGTTTCACATCAATAATTTTTAAAGTTTCTTGAAACAAAACAAAATCTATAAACGATTTAATCATTTCTCCTAATGAAATGACGTCAACAGGATGAATTTACTTTTTGTTTGTTTTTGTGATAATTACAGCCAAATAAACACTCTAGAAAGAAGTAGAATTCATCATCATCATCAACAGCAACAACAATAACAACAACATTGAAAAAAGCACTTCTTCCCATACTTAAGTTGTTTACAACTAACACGACAGTTGTACGATAACAATATTCGTTTTTAATAATGCAATAATGTTGCTGTATTGTTTGTTTGGAAATATTTCTGTCCAACTAACAGCAATTTAATCAATAAAACAACATTTCAAGTCAAGAATGTAGTTTTCGAATGTAAATAACTTTATTATTTTACCATCTGAATGTGTAGTATTGTAGTATTGATTAATTTTTTGACACAACGCGTCATTTACAATCTCCAAACAGATAACTCTATTCATGTTCAGTGGAAGATAAACATTCTTGATGGGCAATGGCCTGATAGCATGTCTCAAAGTGACACAACGGCTTTTGACATCTGAAAATCATCGGGACGATTTCTAATGAGACCTTACGGAAAGGGAATTGTAGCGAATTCTCATTCTGACTCACTAAAGCGACTTTCAATTTTAAATGATGATACAGCTGACAACAGTTTGTCATGAAATCATCCGTCACAGTAAACTGATCTCCGCAGGTCACCTAATATAATGAGTGATATTATTTTCAATAACAGAAAATATGTGTGCTAGATTCATGTGAGGCGATTGTTTACTGTAGTCACGCATTTCACCCCGATAAGCGTTAATTAAACATTACAATTACACTTTTGACATTTTAAACATGGAAAAACGCAAACCAATTATTTTGGATGGAATCTTACCACAAATGCATCTATTTTTATTCATTTTATTTGTTACTCAAAATAGGTAGATAAATTAGTTACACTTCGTATGAGAGCTTCACGTATTTTGAAAGTCTAAAATATTTTACAAAATGAACCAGATCAAAATCTAATGTTCATGGTTTCAATTCAGACACTACTTAGTTTGTCAACTGAAATTTCAACGTAACCATTGAAAATGAAAATTTACAGTATCTTCCAATGGCATTTATCGAACACTAAATCACTACATAACATAAAAATGTAATGAACAAACATTTTACTAGTAGTAGTAGTAGTAGTAGTAGTAGTAGTAGTAGTAGTAGTAGTAGTAGCAGTAGTAGTAGTAGTAGTAGCAGTAGTAGTAGTAGTAGTAGTAGTAGTAGTAGTAGCAGTAGTAGTAGTAGTAGTAGTAGTAGTAGTAGTAGTAGTAGTAGTAGTAGTAGTAGTAGTAGTAGTAGTAGTAGTAGTAGTAATTATTCAATTATTTCGAAGTATTCACAGCAAAATATCTTAGTTTATTGAGTATACAATACATGACAGTTTGTAAGCTTGAATATGATTAGTCTTGAAGTGAGTACAAGTTGCTCAACAGAATATACATTTCGACAAATGTGTTAGTTTTCTTAGATTGTGGATTTCTGTGTTGAATTTAACGAACGGAACGTTTTTATTCAATCAAACTAGAAAAACTGAACAATAAATATGGCTGTTTTATAGGTAAATACAATTGCATTATACGATATTATGCGTTTCATTAGGAGAGAACAATTTTTTTTCGATAAAAAACATCAACGAAATGTCTACTGATCGACCGCACAATTTGATTATATTTTTAGGCGTAAGAGTTTAATGAAAAGGAACAGTATTCAAAAAAAAACGCCTTATTTGAAAATAACATTTTTCAGTGTACAAAAGAAATGAAGAATTTCGTCTTTCAAAAAAGCCAGAAAAATATTTCTGCCAATAAAAAAAATCCATAAGAACTTGTTTGTTTTTTCCCGAAACAATCTTTCATGCAAAACACTGAATACAAACACATAATAATTTTTTCAGTTCTATCGAGGATACGAATTCATTTTTCCCCATTTTATTTCATAGATTTATTTCCAGAAATGGAGAAGTAATGAAGAATGAAGAAGAACTTGTTTTCTTTCCTTTGAGTGTTTCGGCACATGAATGAAAGTAAGCAAGTAAAAATGAAACTGATTCAACAGCATTATTTAAACATTGAGCTTAAAATAATAAAATGTCCTTCACAAGCTATACATTAACGTCATTGAAGCATGTATGTAAATTGAAAATGAACTGCATGAGTATTTTCTAAATCATCATCAGCATATTTCCGTTTGATTAAATTAACACCCCTAAAAACTCAAATTATTCACAAGTTTACATTGATTTTATGAATTATTGCTTGGACTGTACAATTGGTGAATTATTGTCGATAACAGTTTGAATTAATTTTTCAAACATTTTGTTAGGCTATTATGTTATTAAAATTGAAATAAAAGATTATGAACTATAAGGTTTGCAAATTTTGATAAAATCACCATTCTAGCTCGGTAGTTCACATCAACTGCATGCAACTGGAAATAACAATTATCAATCAATAACATACTTAAGTTTAACATGTTGAGATAAATATACTCGTTCCACAAGTGAAATCGTAAGAATCAAAGTAATCAGGAATACAAAGTAAGCAAATAAGCAAAATAAATGGTCGATATGATCTGATGTGCTTAAAAGCATTAATAAAGAACAGGACAGAACCTGTGATCATAACCCAAAGAAAATAAATGTCATGTACAGGTAATTACAGGAATAAATGATTGCACAATTGTTCAGCATGAACAAAACAAAAGATTGTCAACATCAAATAGATTATGTAAGAGTTAAGTATCGCAAAACGAAAAAAAACAGAAATAAAAAGGGTTGTGGATATTATTGAGAAAGAGGAGCACATTTTGAGTAAAAAAGTGAGGGTTCTAAAATTGTAATTAATAGTTACACAATCATATTGCGTAACTAGCCAATCATTTATTCATTTAATTATGCTGACAACCTCTCATATCTTGGTTTTGAAGATTTGTAAATTGTAACACCTATTACATTATACATTACTGCTTTCAAATATACAAGGAACCAATCGATACTGTACTTCGCTCACTCAGACACTTACTATCTCCGAATTTCTAATTATTTTCAGTTCCGAACGTTTAATTATTCTTCTAAAACTGAAGGATGATCAACATTTGTTAATGAATATGTTTATAATAATGTTTATAGATTGTGGGCAACTATTGAGATACCGAGAAACTGGATAAGTTCATTTTATTCTTACTTACTGAATAATTTTGCCCGTTACTACTAAACGAGCATTGACCACCGCTTAGCTAACTCCAGTCGAATTCATCATATGCTCAAATTCCCAGTTCTTCCCAAAAGGTTATATGCCTAGTCTCTATGTGTTGTTAGTCTCACCTCTTTTCGTTCGGCCTTGAGAATATCACATCAGAGTGTGATTCGTAATGCAGTTCAGTCATTTCCTTCCCAGCTTCAATGGTCTACTCCCGAAAATCCACACGTGTTCAAAACTATCTCGTCACTTGTAGTCACTAAAAGTGTGAAGTGATGTTTTACATGGGCACTGAATTCAAAAAGTAGTTGTAAGCGAATTTCAATAAATGTGTTGATAAAGAATGAAACACATTTATTAGTCGACTAAACATACATCAGCTTAGTTGAATTGATCAAAATGAAAAAGAAACCTAATCATGTTAATGAAATTATTTAGGCTAAATATAATCATAATTGTGTCTGATAAAAAAGACATCAGTAGATAAATAAGTTGTATGGATATAGAAATATGTTAGGATAAAAAAATTGCATTCTGCCATCTATTAAATCAATAATTTTATTCCCGCACTACTGTTACACTGAAATATATATATAACTCTCTGCAAGTTAAATGAAATAATTTAGCTAAAATGAAATAAAAAAAATTCATTCAAAAATTGTGAATATATAAAAATAAAGGGATTTTGATCAATCATATTTTCTGCAGTCATTTGCATGAAAGAAACATGGAACTGTGAAATACGGCTCGGCAGTAATTGTACAACGTCTGCACTGTATGGACTGTCGCTACTGATTCTGGTCTCTGGTCGATTTGTGAATGTGCGTTGTAGAGTATTCTTAAACTAGCATACAACATCTCCTGAGTTCTTACAGGTTCTCAATTATCTGTTAGCTCAGTCAAATGCATTACATGATTTCCCTTCAATGTGTTCCCTGTTCGCAAATAAAATCTAACTAGGTCAACCGAAAACCACAGATTTAGATATGAATACAAACGGTTTTCGCAATGCGTTCGCCTAATTCTACGAGACAGTTTGGATCACTGTGGCGTAGAAATTACGAAAATACATATTTCTTACGATTACTTATGTGTTACTGAGGCTTTTGTGTTGTGGCTAGTGTAGAGAAAGTAATCTAGAATTTGGCTGGATACCATCAACATCAATCCCATGTGACAGTATACAATGCAGCTTCGAAGTGAGTAAGAAATGAGGACGAGTTGCTGGAAAAGGATCGGGTACACTGTGCGGAGTGCACGAAATTGCCTGACAAGTTAAGCCTTCACATGGAATCGGCAGGGCTACAGACCAAGAGGCACAGTGAATTGATAACTGAAGGCAGATGTCAAGAGAATGAACACTGCAAAGTGACAACAACGAAGATCATGGGAAAACTTGATCACACAATGCTGATCGGTGGTCTATGCTTCATGAGAAATAGCAGGTCTAAATGCAGCATCTATAATGCTGTGAGTCTTCAAATGTAATGAGACTAGATTTGTGATGTAACTAACAACGAAAATCTGAGATAGTTTGATTTACCAAAGTTCTATCATCGATAATCTTCCTGATGCCTTGTTTATTTGAAAATGATACTTATGCTGACAGTCAAATTATGCTTCTGAATAGACAAGATGCACAACTAGCAGCAAATCAATTTTTATGCTACAACTATCATAGTACAGTTTCTGTTTATGTCTTTCGCACGATCACATGTACAATCTGTATTGTCTGATGATAGTATGCTCACATTTTGCGAACTGACGAAATTTCACAGTGATGTTGAAACCAATAACACACAGATTGTGTTGCAATGTTATAGTAATATTTTACAATATCACCTAATTTCATCCAACCAATAATTTGTAGCCACTTCATCACACTACTTACATGCCGACAAATTCAGTAGTAATAGTAGTGATTGTTCAATAGATCTGTCCACCATGCTATTATTAGTAGTATTCAATGATCACATTATTTCGGTTAAACAAAATGTTGTTTCACAGTGATTTAATGAATTCATTTCTGTAAGACCACTATGTTTCTTGAAGTATATATTTTGACCTATTTCATGTGATTACTACTCCTAATAATAGTAATACTAATATATTTGTGGTCTTTTAAACAATCACTTCTATTAATACAGAATTTTTCGTCTCTGTGTAGTGAAATGAATTGGCTATGATTAGTCTATACTTTGAATGCTTGCCTTATGCTCTTCATCAGTTTTGATTGAACGAAATCTTGGAATATTAACTAAAGTATATACACTAGAATATTATCAAAATTCAGAGGTTTTTATGTTAAACGCGTCGATCAGAATTCATTTTTCGTAATGATATAGATATAAATTTATTATCAGTAACTGAAATTACCCTGTTTCTTGGTAGGAAAACAACAGAATGAACATTAATCTTTGGAATGCTAAATGAAATACTCTTCAATTACAATCTCTCAAGTTATGAAGGAAACTTTGATGCTGGAGAAATAATTCCCTAAATTTCAAAAAATCAGAATGGAAACGAAATTTTAGAGCAAACCATTTTCTTACTAATTATGATGATGTTCAACAGTCTAAGAAAAATAACACTGTTGACGAAATGTACATTGTGTTGAGCAACTTGAATCGCCACAACTTGTACTCACTTCAAGACTAATCAGATTCAAGCTTACAAACTATTATGTATTGTATACTCAATTAACTAAACTATTTTGCTGTGAGTACTTCGAAATAATTGAATAATTACAAATATTGAAGCAATCAATCAAACATATTGCACAACTCTTGTTCATTTCTTGCGGAAGATTACTATCTCATATTTAAAACAATTAGTCCCTTTTATAAATTTTGATAGAACAGTGAGAAGACGTAATTGATCTGAAAAATGTGATGTATTTGCGCTATACATTTCGAACAATCTGGTCACACATATTTACTTGTCAAGGCATTTCATATGAAGATGAATAAAAGGTCAATTGAATAAAAGTTCAAATAGACATAGGGTGATAATTGTAAATAAAGGAGAGAGAAAATTAACGTAATATGAAAAGAATAAGAAGGGGAAGGAAAATTGTCACATTACCCTAGGCTTAAAGATTATCAAGGTAAATTCAAGGTTATGACAAATTGTTTCTGCACACATAAATGGGGTTTAAATTTTCTAA